CTGCGTCGCTGTGTTCCTGTGGAGATGTGCCGCTGACCCTGCACGATGGCTGACTTCGTGCTCCGACTGGACGCCGAGGGCCATGCGGTTGACTTCGCCGCCTGGCTCTCCGATCTCCGCCGCCACCTTACAGGTCAGCACCAGGATGGCCACTCTTTGGTTGTCCATGTCGATGGCTTGCTCCCCCGCCCCCCTGTCCCTGCTCCCCTCCCTGCTGATCCCTCCTCTGATGACCGTGAGGCCTTCTCTACTGTTGCGCTTGCCTGTGCGGTCTGGGACTCCCGCGATGCAGTAGGTCAGGTTGCTATTAGTCACGCCCTCCCTGTGTCTGAGCGCTCGCGTTTTGCTACTGTTGTGACGGCCAAAGCTTACTTAGACGCCGTTATTGCTCGCTATTCCACACCCACGTCTGCTTCTGCTGGCCGCTTGCTCTTCCCGATGCTGTTCCCAGACCTTGCAGCCTTCCCTACCGTCGCAGACTTTGCCACTCACCTGCGTGCCCTAGAGACCCGCTATCGCACTGCCAGCACTGCTGCCCAGCTCACTGCGCTCCCCCCCCCTTTCTGCATGACGCTCTATTTTATCGCCATGTGCCTGCCAGACCGCCTCGCTAGTGCTCGCGATCACTTCCTTAGCCAGCACCCGGGTGACCTCACCCTCACCGCCTTTGTCGACACCCTCACCGAGATCGAGACTCGTGAGCGCACTATCGCTCAGTCGAGCAGGGCGCTGGCAGTCTCTATCTTTCACGGTTGTGCCCCCTCCCAGTGCACGTTCACTGGCGTTTCGGCTGCGGTCGCCACGGCGACCCCTCTCATCGAGACGGCTGCTGCGGTCCACCCGCAGCAGCGCTCGCGCCGCGGTGGCCGTGGTCGCCAGGAAGGTAGGGGTGGTGGCGCAGGTGGTGGTGGTGGTGGTGGTGGTGGTGGTGGTGGTGGTGACGGTAGTCCGCCTGCAGGGACTACCACTGGTGGGCAGGAGCAGCAGCCCCAGCCGCAGCAGGTGCAGCCCCAGCCGCAGCCGCCGCCCCAGCAGCAGCCGCCGTCCCAGCAGCAGTCGCCGCAGCCGTGGGCCCGTCTCCCGCCTGGCTGGCCCGGCACCTCCGGAGGTAGTGGCCGTGGTGGCGGCCCGCGCAGCTTGGCGTCTACCGGCGGCTCCGGTGCTGTCACCTGCCAGTACCAGCTTCAGACCGGGCCTCTTCGCGGCACTCTGTGCCACCGCCCGCACCCGACCGCCCGCTGTTTCCGCCGCCTCGACGATCTCTTTCGTCGTCGCTTTGGCCCGGCCCCGAACCTCCCCGACTGGCACAGCCTGCTCCGCCAGGGAGCAGATAGGTGCTGCTTTGCATGCTTTGTATTCTGACGCTTCTAGTGTTGCTGGATCTTATTACCCTGTGTACTCTAGTTTAGGTGTTGCACCATTGTGTAGCTTAGCCTCCCCTGCTGCGTCAGGCGTAGGACTGCCTAGCTTGCCTAGTCTAGTCGCTGCACCGGCTCCGTCCCCGACCTCCGCCACTGCTTCGCTGTCCTTCACTCTCGACTCTGGTGCGTCTGCCTGCTTCTTCTCCGACCGTTCCACGCTCACGCCGCTTGCTGCGCTTGCTGTTGTCTCTCTCGCTGACCCCTCTGCGGGTCCTGTCGTCGCTCGCAGTTCTACGTCCCTTCCCTGTCCAGCAGTTCCCTCTGGCTCCCTTAGAGGCCTCCACGTTCCCTCGTTCTCGAGGAACCTGGTTGGTGTCGGCTGTCTCCAGGACCTCGGCGTCACCACCACATTCCCCGGGCACGAGCGGTTTGCTGTCTGCTCTGAGGCTGTCTCAGGTTTCCCCCTTGCGACGTTCCCCTGGGACCCGGTGTCCGGTCTGTTTACCCTAGACACCGCTTCCCCCTTGGTTGGTGCGTCCTCCCAAGTCGCTGCAGCTTGCTCGTGTCGGTCCCTCACTCACCCGTCCCTTCTCTGGCAGCACCGCTTAGGTCACCTTGCTCTCCCGCGTCTGCGTCACATGTCCCAGCACGGTCTTGTCTTAGGTCTCCCCGCGTCGCTCCCTGCCCTTCCTCCCTCGACTGCGCCACCGTGCACGCCTTGCGTCGAGGGTCGGCTCCGCCGTGCTCCTCACTCCTCCTCGCTGCGCCCTGCTACTGCCCCACTTCAGACCCTGCACCTGGACGTTTGGGGCCCTGCCCCCGTCCCCGGACCGCGCAGTGAGCGCTACTTCCTTGTGCTCGTCGACGACTACACGCGCTACACCACGGTGTTTCCCCTGGAGCGGAAGGCCGAGGTGCCCGACGTTCTTCTCCCGTGGGTTGTGGCTGTGCGTCTCCACCGCGGTCTCCCCGTGTTGTGTCTCCACTCTGACCGTGGCGGCGAGTTCGCCTCTGGCCGGCTTGGACAGTTCTGTCGTGCGGAGGGCATCACCTAGTCATACACCTTGCCGGACTCCCCACAGCAGAATGGGGTTGCTGAGCGCCGCATCGGCTTGGTCATGGAGGTTGCCCGTACCTCCATGATTCATGCAGATGCCCCCCATTTTCTGTGGTCGTTCGCTGTTCGCTACGCTGCTCACCAGCTTAACTTGTGGCCACGCTCCCAGCGGTCGCAGGTTTCGCCGACCCTCCTTTGGACCGGGTCCCCTGGTGACGCGTCTGCGTTCCACGTCTGGGGCTGCCTTGCTCACGTTCGTGCCTCTGGCACGGACAAGCTCACTACCCGCACTGTCCCCCGTGTCTTCGTCGGTTTTCCCCTGGACTCGTCTGATTGGCTTTTCTACCACCCGCCGTCTCACCGCTTCCTCCACTCTCGTGACGTCACCTTTGACGAGTCTGTCTCCTTCTACCTCCGCTTCCCTCACCGAGGTCTCCCGGTTGCCCCGCCCCTGTTCCAGGCTCCCTCTCCCCCAGTAGCCCCTGCTCCTCTCCCGCCTCGTCCTGCCCCGTCTGGTGTCTCTCACGTCACTCCCCTCTCGTCGATTGTTCCCGTTGATGAGTCTGCTGACTCTGGTGGTCCCCTCGGCCCGTCCCTACCGCGTCCCCCTTCCCCAGTGTCTCCACCTTCCCTGCCGCAGTCGCCGTCGCCGCCGCCGCCGCCGCCATCGCAGTCGCAGTCACCGCCACCGCCGCAGCCGCCGTTGCCGCCACCGCCGCTGCCGCCGTTGGCCTCTGGGGGTGCTGGCGTTGAGGAGGGTGTTTGTCCTGCAGCTCCCGGGGGTGCCGCTGGAGTTGGAGGGGGTGTTGCTGTTGAGGGTTCCGCCGACGGTCGTCCTGCCTCTGCCGGTTCAAGGGTTCCGGCGCAGCTGTCGCAGCAGCCGTCGCCGCCGGTCTCCGCTCTCCGCCTGCTCGGCCTTCCCTCCCCAGACTGCGCGCCAGTGTCTCCCCCACCGCCTGCTGACCTTCCTGTCAACGGTCCTTTGTTCCCGCCGCCGGACTCGTCTCCGGCCCGTCATCCTCCTCGTTCCCCTCCTGTGTCCCCTCCGCTGTCCCCTGACCCTACACCTCCGTCTCACGTTTGGGCTCGCCGTCCCTCCTGTGCTCGTCCCGTCTCTCCTGTCTTGCCCACCCACCCTATGTTGCTCCGTTCCCGCTCGACTCGTCCTCCCCTCCTCCCGTCCCCTCCTCCCTCGTCCCTTGCTGTTGCACCTCCTCCGTTCTCTGACTACCTCTGTGCCGCTTGTCCCCTTGTCCCTCGGGTCCTTGCCTCTCTTGTTACCGACCCTGCTGTTCCTGTCTCGCGCCTTGACGCGCTTGTCACTGCTGTCGCTGACTTCGCCTCTACCGGCTGCCTTGACTACGCTACCGCTCTGGTCTCTGACCATGCCCATCCTCCGTCCGTCGGGGGTGCTCCTGCCCTTGGAACTGATGTCCTAGAGGACAGGCAGTACGAGCTTGCTTTCCTTTCCGAGGCTGCTCCCCATCTCTGCTCCATGCTATTAGTCCCTGAGGGTGACCCAGACGCCTTCGACATCCCGACCCCTCGCACCTACGCTGAGGCCACCTCGGGACCTTGGGCCTCTTAGTGGATAGCTGCCATGGAGCAAGAGATGGCATCTTGGAGGTCCACTGGCACTTACGTCGACGCAGTTCTCCCGCCTGGGGTGAACGTAGTCGATGGTCGGTGGCTCTTCAAGGTGAAGCGCCCCCCTGGAGAGCCGCCTGTCTTCAAGGCGCGCTACGCGGCCAGAGGTTTCAGTCAGCGAGAGGGGGTTGACTTCTTCCAGACCTTCGCCCCGACCCCGAAGATGACAGCTCTTCGGGTGCTGCTACACGTAGCAGCACAGCGCGACTACGAGCTTCACTCCCTCGACTTCTCTATTGCCTTTCTTCAGGGCAGCCTACACGAACAGGTCTACCTGCGCCGACCACAGGGCTTCACTGGTACCTTCCCCCCTGGGACCCAGTGGCTTCTCAGGCGCCCGGTCTTCAGCCTGCGTCAGGCTCCTCGCGAGTGGCACGATACGCTGCGGGCCATGTTAGCAGACCTGCAGTTCTTTCCGTCCTCTGCTGACCCCTCGCTGTTTGTGCGTTCCGGCCAGACTCCGTTCTACATCCTTGTCTACGTAGACGATCTGGTCTTCGCAACTGCTGACAGGGACGCACTGGCCTCTGTGAAGGCCGAGCTTTTGAAGAGACACACTTGCACTGACCTTGGAGAGCTGCGTCGCTATCTTGGCCTGCAGATCTCTAGGGACAGAGCACCACGCACCATCACTCTGACACAGTCACACTTGGTGTGTCAGGTCCTTCAGAGGTTCGGTCTTCAGTTCTCCTCCGCACAGCCCACACCTCTACCTGTAGACCATGGGCTCTCCGCTCCCGTTCTTGAGGAGCCAGTAGAGCCCACTGGCCCCTACGCAGAGCTGGTGGGTTGCCTCATGTACCTGATGACTTGCACTCGCCCAGATCTCGCATACCCTCTCAGTATCCTGGCTCGCTTTGTGGCTACAGGTAGACACCGACCTGCCGCTAAGAGGGTTTTGCGTTATCTTGCTAGTACATCGGGCATGGGGTTAGTGCTAGGAGGACGCAGGCCAGTGGTCCTTACTGGGCACACAGACGCTTCTTGGGCAGAGGACTCTGAGACACTCAGGCCGTCGCAGGGCTACTGTTTTAGCCTTGGTTCGGGTGCTATCTCTTGGAGATCCACTCGCTCGTCGTCTGTGGCTCAGTCCAGCTGTGAGGCTGAGATCTGCGCTGGTGCCATGGTGGCACAGGAGCTCCGCTGGCTGACCTTCTTGCTCACAGACTTAGGTGAGCGGCCTAGCTCTGCCCCGGTCCTGTACGCTGACAACAGGGCCATGATACTCCTGTGTCAGGAGCCTCAACTTGAGGGCAGATCGAAGCATATCCAGCTGCGGTACTTCCTCCTGCGCGAGCTACAGCAGCGCCGCCAGGCCCGCGTAGTTCACTTGGCCTCAGGTGCCAACACAGCTGATATCTTTACTAAGGCGCTTGCGCCTAAAGATCATCAGCGGCACTGTGTACAGCTTGGTCTTGTTCCTGTAGCTACTCACCTGTTAGGATCCTTATTGTGTACTCTCTATTATATATGCCTGTCAAACTAGCCTTGTGGCCTTACTTCTAGTGGCTGGACTAGTCGTGCCGCCCTGGCTTGCTTTAGTTTTGTTTGTATTCTTGCTGACTGGTCTCCAGACCCTTGCCTCAGTGGTTGGACTAGTAGTGCCACCCTGAGCTGTTTGCTTCTTGCTTAGCTTCACCCCTTGTCTAGCCTAGGGGGTGTGTCAACTTATACATATTAGCTGTGTAGAAGTTATAGGCTAGACTGAGGTATGCTTCTAGTGAGTACAACCAACTAGTATTTGTTCTAGGTTTCAACTTCTAGTCAATCATTCAGTTCTTACTTTAATATTTCCAACAGGGCTGGTGGGGTGTGCTGTGGAGTTTCCCGTGTGTTGCTTGATCCAATAGTAAGGATCTGTAGAAACTTTGATGTAAAAATATACAATATAAGTGGAAAGCTATGGTATAGCGCACGGCAGGCAACATGTTTGAGCACTTGAGAAGACGGAAGGCAACACTGCAATCCACCAGCTGGCCAGATGCTGCCGTGGAGTTCGCTTTGCCAGGAATGAGGCACCAACTGGCACGGCAAACTGCTCAGCGCGTGTGGTGGGGGACGCGGGGCACATGCAACACAGTGTGGTGTGGATGCAAGATGTTGCTGCGGCAGCACGGTGGCTAGCGGCCTCCGGCGAACTTGGAGTGCAGCCAGCTGCGCACGCCGCTGGCGTTGGAGCCGAGCAACATGAAGAAGCTGCCCATCTTGTACGACCCCTGCGACATGTGCGACACGCCCCCGCTCACACCCGACGACATGCCCGACTGCATCCCCGAGGAGCCCGAGTCAGAGGGCCGCGCGCGGTCGGGGGCGTCCATAGCCTCCCACTCCTCCTCCTTGGCGGGGCAGTGCTTGTCGATGAGCATCTTGATGCGGTACGCGATGTCCTTCATGTCGGGCCGCCGCGTGCCCGGCGCCTTGATGCAGTCCAGTGCCAGGTCCGCAAAGTCGACGACGGCCTCTCGCTGCAGTCCATGCGGCTGTCCTTGAGCTGCTCCAGCTCGTACTCCTCCACCATCTTCGCCGCCTGCACCAACCCACCGCCGCCGCCACACCAACAATGGCGTGCACTCCACTGGCAAGCATAATGAGACCCTCCCGTGTTCCCCTTCCCAAGGCCACGTACCCATTTCCTGATGTGTGTCTTGTTGTCAACTTGAGGCACCTTGCCAGTGAGCAGCTCCAGCAGCATGATGCCATAGCTGCACGCACACAACACACGCACGCACAGGAGGTTACAGCCTTCAACAAAGGGACACGGACAAGCATTGGGGGGGCGGTGAACGACAATTGGAGCACATGCAGAGGGAAGCCACGTAGGGAGCAGCAGAAGCGGTGGCGGGCACCTGAAGACGTCGCTCTTGGCGGTGACCATCCGTGTGCGGTTGTAGTCGGGGTCCACGTAGCCGGGTGTGCCCGCCACGCGCGTGGCGTCTACATCGCCATGAGTGAGGCGCTTGAGCAGCCCAGAGTCAGCCACCTTGGTGTGCATCTCGTGGGTGACTAGGATGTTGGCGGGCTTGATGTCGCGGTGGATGATGGACATCTCAAACCCATGCAGGTACGCCAGCCCCTCCGCTGTGCCCTGCGCCAGGCGCAGCCGCAGCCGCAGGGAGAGAGCGCCTGGTGGAGAGGGAAGGGAGGGGAGCCTTGAGAGTGCTTCGTTCAGTGGGCCTGTGTGTTGATGCATAGGGCCCATGGTGCGGTTTTGGACTAGGTCTCCTGGTGACGCGTCTGCGTTCCACGTCTGGGGCTGCCTTGCTCACGTCCGTGCCTCCGGCACGGACAAGCTCACTGCCCGCACCCTTCCCTGCGTCTTCCTCGGTTTTCCCCTTGACGCGTTCGACTGGCACTTTTACCACCCGCCATCTCACCGCTTCTTTCACTCTCGTGACGTCACCTTTGACGAGTCCGTCTCCTACTACCGTCGCTTCCCCCACCGTGGTCCCCCGGTTACCCCCCCCCTGTTCCTGGTCACTCCTTCCCTGGTAGTCCCTGCCCCTCCTCCTCCTCCTCCCCGTCCCGCCCCCTCTGGTGTGTCCCACGTCACCCCCCTTCCGTCAGTGGACCCGGTTGAGGAGTCTTCTGACTCTGGTGGCCCTCCTGTTCAGTCCTCGCCGGCCGCCCCTCCCCTGGCGTCCCCTCCCCAGTCCCCCCCTCCACCGCCTCTGCCGTCGCTGCAGCCGTCGTTGTCGCTGCCGCCGCCGCCGCCGCCGCCGCCGTCGCAGCATCCGGTCGCTGACTCTGGGGGTGCTCGTCCCGGTAGCCCTGGGGGTGGTCCCTCTGGGGGTGCTGGTGTGGAGAGTGCCGGTGGTAGCCGAGGAGCAGCTTGCGGTCCCGGTGTCGCCTTTGTGCCGCCGCAGCAGCAGTCCCCGCCGGTGTCAGCCCTTCGCCTGCTCGGCCTTCCGTCCCCCGACCCTGCGTCGGTTCCTCCCCGGCCGTCTCCTCCTCTTCCTGTCTACGGCCCTGTCTTCCCTCCGCCGGACTCGTCCCCGGCCCGTCTCGCCCCTCGTTCCCCTCCTGTGTCCCCTCCTCTGTCTCCTGACCCGACTCCTCCGTCGCACGTCTGGTCTCACCGTCCCTCCCGTGCTGGTCCTGCCTCGCCTGTCTTGCGCTCCCACCCTATGTTGCTTCGTTCCCACGCGTCTCGTCCTCCCCTTCTGCCGTCGCCTCCTCCATCCTCCCTTGTTGTTGCACCCCCCCCGCTGTCTGACTACCTTCGTGCCGCTCGTCCCCTTGTTCCTCGGGTCCTTGCCTCTCTCGTTACCGACCCGTCTGTTCCGTCCTCGTGCCTTGACGCTCTTGTCGCTGCTGTCGCTGACTTCGCCTCTACCCGCCGCCTTGACTACGCCTCCGCTCTGGTCTCTGACCCTGCCTGTCCTCCGTCTGTCGGGGGTGCTCCTGCCCTTGGCAGTGACGTCCTGGAGGACCGCCAGTTCGAGCTTGCTTTCCTCTCCGAGGCTGCTTCCCATCTCTGTTCCATGCTGCTAGTCCCTGAGGGTGACCCAGACGCTTTCGACATCCCGACCCCTCGCACTTACGCTGAGGCGACTTCGGGACCCTGGGCCTCGCAGTGGATAGCTGCCATGGAGCAAGAGATGGCATCTTGGAGATCCACCGGCACCTTCGTCGACGCAGTTCCCCCACCTGGGGTGAACGTAGTCGATGGCCGCTGGCTCTCAATGTGAAGCGCCCTCCTGGAGAGCCGCCTGTCTTCAAGGCGCGCTATGTCGCTAGAGGCTTCAGTCAGCGCGAGGGGGTGGACTTCTTCCAGACCTTCACTCCGACCCCGAAGATGACTACTCTTCGGGTTTTGTTACACCTAGCTGCTCAGCGTGACTACGAGCTTCACTCCCTCGACTTCTCCACTGCCTTCCTTCAGGGCAGCCTACACGAGCAGGTCTACCTGCGGCGCCCTCAGGGCTTCACTGGCACCTTCCCTCCTGGGACCCAGTGGCTCCTGCGGCGCCCCGTCTACGGCCTGCGCCAAGCTCCCCGTGAGTGGCACGACACTCTCCGTGCTACGCTTGCTGACCTGCAGTTCTTTTCGTCTTCCGCAGACCCTTCACTCTTCGTTCGTGCTGGCCAGACTCCGTTCTACATCCTTGTTTACGTCGACGACCTGGTCTTTGCCACAGCTGACAGGGACGCACTGGCCTCCGTGAAGGCAGAGCTGCTGAAGAGACACACGTGCACAACCTTGGAGAACTGCGCCGTTACCTTGGCTTGCAGATCTCCAGGGACAGAGTTGCGCGCACCATCACCCTGACTCAATCACACTTGGTGCGCCAGGTCCTTCAGAGGTTCAGCCTTCAGTTCTCCTCTGCACAGCCCACCCCTCTGCCTGTAGACCACAGACTCTCCGCTCCAGTGTCTGAGGAGTTGGTAGAGCCCAGCGGCCCCTACGCAGAGCTGGTGGGTTGCCTCATGTACCTGATGACTTGCACGCGCCCAGATCTCGCATACCCTCTCAGCATCCTGGCTCGCTTTGTGGCCACACGCAGACACCGACCGCAGCACTGGTCTGCCGCTAAGAGGGTTCTGCGTTATCTAGCTAGTACATCGGGCATGGGGTTAGTGCTAGGAGGACGCAGGCCAGTGGTCCTTACTGGACACACAGACGCTTCGTGGGCAGAAGACGCTGAGACACTCAGGTCTACCCAGGGCTACTGCTTCAGCCTTGGCTCAGGTGCCGTCTCGTGGAGAGCTACCCGCTCCTCGTCTGTTGCGCAGTCCAGCTGTGAGGCTGAGATCTACGCTGGTGCCATGGCGGCACAGGAGCTCCGCTGGCTGACCTTCTTGCTCACTGAATTAGGTGAGCGGCCTAGCTCTGGCCCGGTCCTGTTCGCTGACAACAGGGCCATGATCCTCCTGTGTCAGGAGCCTCGACTCGAGGGCAGAGCAAAGCACATTCAGCTGCGGTACTTCCTCCTGCGTGAGCTACAGCAGCGACGTCAGGCTCGCGTAGTACACTTGGCCTCAGGTGCCAACACGGCTGATATCTTTACGAAGGCGCTTGCGCCTAAAGATCATCAGCGGCACTGTGTACAGCTTGGTCTAGTTCGTGTAGCCTCTCACTTGCTAGGACCTTGACTTTGTACTGTCCTTTATACGTATACTCAGACTGGACTTGTGTCCTCTTCCAGTGGCTGGACTAGTAGTGCCGCCCTGCTCTTGTTCTTGCCTTGTCTGTACTCCTTCTGACTGGTCTCTCAGACCCTTGTCTCAGAGGTTGGACTAGTAGTGCCGCCCTGAGCTGTTTGTTTAGGGCATTCCCCTATGCAGTCTAGGGGGTGTGTCAAACATGTGTATTTGTCATGTTTGTATAGACTGTATAGGGTCGCCTCTTAGAGAGTACAACACTTAGGTATATCTGTGTGTACTCTCACTCTATCTATTATTGACTTCTCAATTCTGATACAACCAACTAGTATTTGTTCTAGGTTTCCACTTCTAGTCAATCATTCAGTTCTTACTTTAACAGAAAGAACACGAAAGGACGAAAGACTCGAAGGGTCGCAACCGGAGGTTGCGACTGACCGTTACAACTGCAAGGGTGGTAACCGAATCGACCATCGAGTTGCTGTGCGACTCGATAACCGTTCCTTCAACTGTATTCTACAACTGCTTTACTTTCCTATTTTCTATACATTGCTGGATGCTTGTTTCCTTTAATCAATCACTTGCTCTCACATACTAGTGCAAGGGTTCAACTACTCAACTTCCGCTGCACTACTCAAGTATCTTGTACAACTGGGACTTAATCTCTGAAAGATCCTAAGGGCTTTTCTCAGCCCAACAAGCCCAACCACCTAATCACGCCACCAAGCCTTTCTCTACCAATGGTGTTAGTCACAATGCTGACACGAAAGGCGCAGCCAGGTACAGTACAGATGAGTGGCTGGTGCCGCAAGAGAATGCCACCGTGCAGAACGCATGGTGCATGGTATGGAGAGCACAGAGAATATTCTCGAAGCATACGATTCCCTAGACAGGCCACAACAAGCGATAGCAATGTGGGAGGCCCTTGAGTGTATGCAGTGAGGCCAGGTTGCTGACAACAGCAGCAAGCGGGGACGGCAGGCAGGGTAGGGAGCAAGGTGAGTGCTTGCTGTGGAAACCCGCACAGCAGCCGTACAGCAGGCGACGACACGGTAGGCGGCTGTGGCAGGTGCTGCGGCAGGTGGAGGAGCAGAGGGGCAGAGAAAGGGGGGGAGAAGAGACCGAGGGGCAGAGGGGCACACGAGGCTGCTTTTGAGGCGCCTCGAAAGAGGGCCAGAGGAGAAGGGGGGGGGGGGGGGAGAGACCGAGGGGCAGAGGGGGACACGAGGCGGCAGATGCTGAGGCACACGCAAGTCCTGGCAGCGAGACACAGGTGAAGAGGCAATGCAGGGAAGCAATGGGCACGATGTGGGAGGGACTGACCAGTGTGGGCAGCATGGGCTCATCAAGGAAGGTGGCCCTCAGGTGCTCCTGCCTCTGCCTTTCCGCTCCCTCGACCCTACTCCTTTCCTGCGCTTCCCCCCACTCTCACGCTCACTCTCCTCGCTCCCGCTCTCGCTCTCGCTCGCCTCGTCACTATCGCTCTCGCGTCTGGTGTCTCCATCCACCACCCTGCGCGCCCTGCCTTTGGTCCTCCGTGAGCCATCCGCGCCTGCCCTCTCATCTCGCCTCCTGCCACCGCGCCCCTCTGCGCGCTCCTGCCCATCGCCCCGTGCTCCCCTCCCTTCCAGCCCCCTCTCCTCCTCCTCCTCCTCGTCTCCTCCCTCGCCCCCCTCCTCCACCGCATCGCCCCGCTTCCCGCCCTCCCTTGTGCCATGGCGCCTCTCGTCCCCATCCTGCTCCTGCCTCGCCCGCCTCGCCCTCCCACCATCCCCATCGCCGTTATCACCCCACCCCCTTGCCTTTCCTTGCCCACCCACCACCACACCCTCGCCACGCCGCCACTCGTCCCTCTCCTCCTCGCTCCCCTCTCCGCTTCTCCCGTTCTGCCCCCTCCCCCCTGCTCTCTGCGCCCTGGCTTCGCCCCCCTCTCTCCCCGCCCGCCCGCTGCCCTGCACTCCGCCACTCTCGCGCGCCTCTGCCACCACCTCCTCCGCGCGCCCCTCGTCGTCCCCCACACCTGCCTTCTTCTCCCGCCTGCCGTTCACCTTCTTCGCTGCTTCCTCCTCCCCCATGTCAGTGCCCCCCCTCACTCCTTTCTTCTCCCCATTTGTCTCTCCTTTCCCCCCTCGCCGTCCCTTCTTTCGCCCTGGCTTCTCATCCTCACTATCGCTCCCTTCACTCCCACTCCCACTCCCACTCCCACTCTCACTCTCGCTCCCGCTCTCACTCTCACTCCCACTCTCATTCTCACTCTCACTCTCACTCTCACTCTCGTCGCGGCCTCCTCTGCGTCGTTTCTTGCGGGGCCCGCCATTCTTGCCCGGCCCTCTCTTGCGCGACCTCTTACCGCCGCGGGAACGCCGCTTGCTCCTCCGCCGATCGCTCTCGCTCTCCGATTCGCTGTCCGACGCCGACTCGCTTTCGGATTCACTCGATGCCGTCTCGCTCCCGCTCCCGCTCGCGCTCTCGCTGTCACTCTCCGTGTCGCTGTCGGAGTCGCTCTCGCTCTCATAGCTCTCATCGCTCTCATCGCTCTCATCGCTCTCGCTATCCTTTCTCTTCCCGCGCTTCTTCCTCCTCAACTTCTCCTTCTCTTTCCTTCTTGCCCTCTCCTTTACTTTCCTCCTCCGCCTCTCTTTCTCCTTCCTCCTCTGCTCCGCCCGCTTAATCTTCCGTTCCTCCTCTTTCCGCTTCTTCTCGTCGGCCCGCCTCTTCCTGTCCTCCTCCTTCTGCTGCTTCTCAATCTCCGCCTGCTTCGCGCGGTCGATCGCCGCCTGCTCCTCGAATCGCCGATCCATGAGGAAGCTCCGCTCAGCCCCAAACCCGAAATCCTCGCCGCCGCCGAGCCCTCCTGTCGCCAGCGCCGACTTATCGCGGAGTTTAGCGCTGCGCAGCAGCTGCGAGCGCGAGGGGCGCGCGATGTACACGCGCTCGTTCTTGCACTCGTACGTCCAGTGGCCCAGCTTGAAGCACTTCTGGCACTGCTGGTTCGCGCCGGCCGCGCCCGACCGCATGTCGACGCGCGTGCCCAGCTTGGCCGCCTGCTCCGTGCTCTCCATGTACATGCGCTGCTTCGCCTCCTTGCGCTCCTGCCACCGGCTCGGCCCTTCCTCCTTCTGCCCGTACGCGTTCACGTTGCGAGCAGCAGCAGCCGCCGCCCTCTCTGCCTGCGCGCGCGACATTCCCTTGCTGGCCGCCTTCAACGTCGCTTGCCGGATTCGCTCCGCCGCAGCCAGCGCCGCCGACGGCTTCTCTTCTTGATCTGCCATGGCTCTCCGTCTTTCCTGGCAGCTAGTGATGTATCAACCTTGGGAGCGAGGAGAGAAACCACGAGTACTTACGAGAAGGCCAAATGATGCCAGGAGAGGGTTTGGTTTGGTGCTGTGGCTCTCAGATCTGCTTCAGTGTCCACTGGAGGGGAGATACGGGAGGGGAGGCATGAGCACTTGTGAAGGTGGGGTTTTAGTGTTTTTTCTCCTGCCTTTCCTTAAACGCGTACGCCAGTAAGATATAATGTTAGAAAGAGTCAGCCTTGAACACCAAAATTATCACATTAGTACCAATATCGGGGAGCAGCTGAGATATATCCTTGTTTCACTAGCTCGTGTCATGGAGCTCTCAATGCCAACTCAAACGTATCAGTTGTTACATCTAACAAACTGGTGACATGGATCTAACATTGGTGCTCATACAGAGAGTGTCGAATATATTTCCAAGGTTTTGCAGAAAACCGATGTCCAGTTGTCAACATATACATATATGCTTATATGTAGAAATTATAGGCTAGCACATCTAGCTACGGTACTTTCTCCTGCACGAGCTACAGCAGCGCCGCCAGGCACGCGTAGTACGCTTGGCCTCCGGTGCCAACACAGCTGATATCTTTACTAAGGCACTTGCGTCTAAAGATCATCACCGGCACTGCGTACAGCTTGGTCTAGTCCCAGTAGCTCCTCACTTGCTATGACTCTGATTGTGTACTCCTCGTATTATCTTGACTAGCCTTGTGGCTCTTGTCTCATTGGCTAGACTCATAGTGCCACCCTGAGTTACTCTTGTTTAGTTTGTACTCTTGCTGACTGGCCTTCCGACCCCTGCCTCAGAGGTTGAACTAGTAGTGCTGCCCTAAGCTACGTGTCTCTTGCTAGGCACTGCCCCTTCTCTAGCCTAGGGGGTGTGTCAATTTATACATATGCTTATATGTATAAATTATAGACTAGATGGGTTTGTGTTCTTAGAGGGTACAACTCCAACCCTATATGTTCCTTGTACTACCTTGTTCTAGTCTCTTCGCTAGTCTGAGACCAGTCAGTAATCACAACAGCATCAGAGCGGGTCTCGCCTTGGGTTTCACTGTTAAAGTAGCTCTAGGCTAGGATACTAGGCAGGAACAAGGCCGCCATGAATGTGGCGGCGGGGTTTAGCTAGGAGAGTAGGCGAGAGTGTCGAGAGAGAAGAGAGTTTGGATTAGGAAGAGAGAGGAGTACAAGGAGGGGTTTGTACCCTCTACAAAAAGGTTCAGTAACAACTTACCAAGCCTATATTAAATTATAACTTATATAATTTGAACACACCCCCTAGGCTTGGTAGTGTCAAGCCCACTCACACCCCCACACCCACACCCACACCCACACCCACACCCCCTAGCCCAGCACCCCCATTCCCAGCAGGAGACACAACGACTCCAGAAGCGGGCAGCTCCCACGGCCCGTGGGATGGCTATGGCGGCAGCAGCGACATTGACGACAGCGGCGCCGGTGGCGATGTGCGGCGGCGCCCGGCCCGCGGCAACAGCAACGGCAGCGGCGGCTTGGACGTCAGCGGCTGGTGCAGCGGCCCCCGCCCTCTCGGCGGCATGTCCAGTCACCTCGGCAGTGGGGAGGGCCCGCATGAGGCAGTCGTTGGCTGCAGCAAGGAGGGGGGGGGAAGCAGGGGAAGGAGGGGGGAGGGGGGGGGGGGGAGAGGGGCGCGGGGCGTAGTCCAGAATCACGCCGGCGGCTGCAGAGCGGGCGGCAGGTCCGGCGGCACCATTGACGATGCGCGGCCGGCTGTCGCCCGATGACGCCGCCACGGCAGCCAAACGACGGATGCGCGGCCAGCTGTCGCCCGATGACGCCGCCACGGCAGCCAAAAGACGTCGCCACAGCGCGACGTCGATGCCGCGGCGGCGAGGCGGAGGTGCGACTGTAGCTCGACTAAGCCGCCGCGGCATCTCAGAGAAGTCGCCACGGCGGCACGGAAAGGCAAGGCCGCCACGGCGGCAGGAAAACGAAAGGCCGCCATCAGCGGCACGGTACGAAGTGAAACGTAAGACAAGGACGAGGCGGAAGCGTGGAAGGCAGGACCGGAAACGGCCTGCTCTGATACCATGTTAAATTAGCTCTAGGCTAGGATACTAGGCAGGAACAAGGCCGCCATGAATGTGGCGGCGGGGTTTAGCTAGGAGAGTAGGCGAGAGTGTCGAGAGAGAAGAGAGTTTGGATTAGGAAGAGAGAGGAGTACAAGGAGGGGTTTGTACCCCCTACAGAAAGGTTCAGTAACAACCTACCAAGCCTATATTAAATTATAACTTATGTAATTTGAACATTCACAACTCATGACTGCCAATCAACAAGCATAGTTGACTCTTATTATTCCAAGCTATCGAGAAGTTGCATTAAGCAAACTCCAAGGCTCGCGACCCTTATAATGATGTTTGAGTCGTCATCACTGCCTTTGAAAATTCCCATTACTCAACTATCGAAATGCAACCAAGATTTACATCATTTCTCAAATTATTCCAAGAAGAGAGATACAATGGTCGGATATAAATCAAGAAGACGTCCAAGATGGCATCTTAAAATAAGGGTTTAATTCTATGAAAGTGGTGTTCAGTACCAGCAACATAATTTGGGTTCCTGAACACATACCAAGACTGTAAACTTATACATATATTGACATATAGAATTTATAGGCTAGATAGGCTTGCGTTCTTAGAGGGTATATCTCCAACCCTATATCTTTCCTGTACTTTCTTGTTCTATTCATTCTAGTATTCTAACATGGTATCATGAGTAGGTTAGGTCCGCCCACCCGTTTCCGCCCCTCGCTCTAGCCTACCGCGCCCCGCCGTCCCCTAGCGCTTCCGCCGGCCCCTAGCGCGCTCGCCGGCCCCTAGCGCACCTCGCCGACCCCTAGAGTGCCCGCCGTCCCTTACGCGTCGTGCCGGCCCCTTAGCGCCCCGCCGGCCCCTTGCGCCCAGCTGGCCCCTAGCGCGCCGTGACGGCCCCTCGCGCTGAGCCGGCCTCACGCGCCTAGCCGGCCTCTCGTGCCGAGCTGGCCCCTTGCACCTAGCCGGCCCCTCGCGCCTAGCCGGCCCCTCTCGCCCCGCCGGCCCTTGCGCCTAGCCAGCCCCTCACGTGCTTGCCGGCTCCTCTATACGCGCCGGCCCCTCCCGCACCTGCCTGGCCTCTCGTGCGCCTCGCCAGCCCCTCGTGCGCCTTAGGCCCTTGCGCGTCCGCTGGCTCCTCGAGCACCCACTGGCCCTCCCGCGCCACTGGGGCCCAGCCCTCCGCCGGCCCTTTGCGCCTTGCCGACTCTGCGCGCCTCGGGGCCTCCTCGGCCTTCCACCCCGTCTCCTCACCGAAGAGTCCTGCCGTCACGCCGCTGTGCCACCGTGCTGCTGAGTACCTGTGCCACTGTGCCGTCGTGTCTCTATGCCGCTGTGTCCCTGTGCCGCTGTGCCGCCGTGTCGCTTGCCGCCGTGTACCTGTGCCGCTGAGGTTGCACGATGGCGGACGCCGTAATTCGCTTGGACACAGAGGGACACGCGATCGACTTCGCGGCCAAGCTTGTTGATCTTCGCCGGCACCTGACAGGTCAGCGTCAGGATGGGGACTACCTGGCTATGCATATTGATGGCTTGCTTTTCCGCCCCCCCGCGCCTGATCCCCTCCCTGCTGACCCCACCACTGCTGAGAGTGAGGCCTTTGCTGCTGCTGCGCTCGCTCGCACTGTCTGGGATTCTTGCGATGCTGTAGCACAGCTTGCCATTAGTCATGCGCTTCCCATGTCTGAGCACCCGCGCTTCACTGCTGTAGCGAACGCCAAGGACTTCCTAGATGCAGTAGTTGCGCGCTACTCCACACCTGCCTCCACCTCCACTGGCCACTTGATCCTCCCCATGCTATTCCCCGATCTTTCCGCTTTCCCCACTGCCGCTGATCTCGCCACTCACCTCTTTGCACTGGAGACTAGCTACTGCGCTGCTAGCACTGCCGCCCAGCTCACTGCTTTCCCCCCACCGTTCTGCGCTACCCTGTACCGTATTGCCATGCGCCTGCCTGACCGCTTAGCCACTGCCCGAGACCACTTTCTTAGCCAGCACCCTGGCGACCTCACCCTGACTGCCTTTGTCACTGCCCTGTCTGAGATAGAGACTCGCCATCGCACTATCGCTCAGTTGAGCGGTGTTGCGGTAGTCCCTATCTTTCAGGGCTGTGCTCCCTCCCAGTGCACGTGCGCTGACATTTATGCCATGGTTGCTACGGCTGCCCCTGCTACTGAGACCGTAGCTGCGGCCTTCCCGCAGCAGCGACAGCGTCGGGGCCGCCGCGGCCCCAAGGGAGGGCGTGGTGGTGGCGCTGGTGGTGGTAGTGGTGGTGGCGCTGGTGGTGGTAGTGGTGGTGGCGGGGACAGTGGTTCTGACGAGGGGGTTGGGGCTGGTGTCCAGGAGCAGCAGCAGACGCAACAGTAGCAATTGCCGCAGCAGCAACATCAGCAGCAGCAGCCGCAGCATTAGCACTCGTGGACCCGCCTCCCGCCGGAGTGGCCAGGAGCCCCTGGAGGCGGTGGCCGCGGTGGCTGCCCCCGCAGCTCGGTGTCTACCAGCGGCTTCGGTGCTGTGACCTGCCAGTATCAGCTCCAGACTGGGCCCCTTCGTGTCACTATGTGCCGCCGCCCGCACCCGACCGCCCCCTGCTTCCGCCGCCTCGACGACCTCTTCCGTCGCTGCTTCGGCCCGGCCCCGGACCTCCCAGACTGGCCCAGTCTGCTGCGCCACGGTGTGCCTGTGTTTGACTAAGACATGGATCAGATAAGTTCAGCCCTACATTCTGTGTATAGTGACGCCTCTAGTGTGTCTGGATCTTATTACCCTGTGTTCTCTAGCTTAGGCGTAGCACCTGTGTGTAGTACAGACTCCCCTGCTGCGTCAGGCGTAGGACCGTTTGCTTTGTCTAGCCTAGGCTCTACACTTGCTCCTCCTTTGTCTGCCGCTACTGCTTCGCTGTCCTTTACGCTCGACACAGGTGCGTCTGCCCGCTTCTTCGCGACCATGCCACCCTCACGCCGCTCGGTGCGCCTGCCGCTGTCGCACTTGCTGACCCCTCGTCTGGTCCTGTTGTTGCTCGCAGCTACACTACCCTCCCTTGTCTAGCGGTCCCCTCGGGCTTCCTTACAGGCCTCCACATCTCCTCTTTCTCCCGGAACTTAGTTGGTGTCGGCTGTCTTCAAGACCTCGGCGTCACCACTACGTTCCCGGGTCACGAGCGGTACGCTGTCTGTACCGAGGCTGTCTCAGGTTCCCCCCTTGCGACGTTCCCCCGGGACCCAGTGTCTGGTCTCTTTACGCAGGACACTGCTTCCCCCCTAGTTAGGGCGTCCTCCCCGGGCCCTGCGTCTACCCAGGTGGCTGCTGCTTGCTCGTGCCGGTCGCTCACTCACCCGTCGCTTCTGTGGCACCACCGCCTAGGTCACCCCGCACTCCCGCATCTGCATCACATGTCCCAGCACGGTCTTGTCCTTGGTCTCCCATCGTCCCTTCCTGCCCTCCCTCCCTCCCCTGCGCCGTCGTGCACGCCCTGCGTCGAGGGCCGGCTGCGCCGTGCTCCTCACTCCTCCTCACTTTGCCCTGCCACCGCACCCCTCCAGACCCTGCACGTGGACGTCTTGGGCCCAACCCCCATCCCTGGACTGCGTCGCGAGCGCTACGTTTTAGTGCTCGTTGATGACTACTCATGCTACACCACGGTGTTTCCCTTGGAGTGGAAGGCCGACGTGCCTGACATTCTTATCATGTGGGTTGTAGCTGCGCACCTCCACCGCGGTCTCCCTGTGCTGTGTCTCCACTCCGACCATGTCATCGAGTTCGTCTCTGGTCGGCTTGGACAGTTCTGTCGTGCGGAGGGCATCACCCAGTCGTACACCCTACCAGACTCCCCGGAGCAGTATGGGGTTGCTGAGTGACGCATTGGTTTGGTCATGGAGGTGGCTCGTGCCTCCATGATTCATGGCGGTGCACCCCATTTCTTGTGGCCGTTCGCCGTTCGCTACGCCGCTCACCAGCTTAACCTCTGGCTGCTCTCCCAGCGGCCGCAGGTTTCGCTGACTGGGTTCCCTGGTGACGCGTCTGCATTCCATGTCCGGGGCTGCCTTGCTCACGTTCGTGCCTCTGGCACGGACAAGCTCACTGCCCGCACTGTCCCCTGTGTCTTCCTCAGTTTCCCCCTTGACTCATCTGACTGGCACTTTCACCACCCGCCGTCTCACAGCTTCTTTCACTCTCGTGATGCCACTTTCGACGAGTCTGTCTCCTTTTACCACCGCTTTCCCCACCGAGATCTCCCGGTTTTCCCTCCCCTGTTTCTGGTTCCCACTCCCCCAGTAGCCCCCGCTTACCTCCCTCCCCGTCCTGCTCCATCTCGTGTGTCTCACGTCACTCCCCTCCCATCCGTTGTCCCGGTCGAGGAGTCGGCTGACAATGGTGGCCCCGCGACGCAGTTCTCGCTGCCTGTCTCCCCCCTGGTGTCTCCTCCTTTTCCGTCGCCGTCGCTGCCACAGCAGCAGTCGTCGCCGCCGCAGCAACCGCTGCCGCTGCCGCCGCAGCAGCCATCGCCGTTGCAGCGGCAGCAGCCATTCGTGGACTCTGGGGGTGCTGGAGTTGAGGAGGATGCTAGTCCTGGGGTTCCTGTCGTGGCTTGTCTAGGCGGGCTCGGGCATGGCACAGGTGCTGGAGAGGGTTCTCACTCTGGGGGTGCTCGTTCTGGGGGTGCTGGAGTAGAGTGTTCCGGAGGTAGCCATGGTGTTGCTGGCGGTCCAGGTGTCGTCGTCGAGCAGCAGCCGCAGCAGATGCACTGGTGTCCGCCCTTCTATGAGAGTACGACCCCGTTACACCACTTGGCCTTTCCTTATTTCACTTCTCTTTTGATCCCATCTCATTTGGTTTCCTATTCTCCATTTTCCATTATCCCTTGGGTTATCCTGTTATAATAATTATATCGCCGACCAGGCTTGGAATGTACTGGCGCGCTATATCTAGCGCAATCCTACCGTAATCCCTTAAAGCCAATTGCCTCGCGTGGCTATACTCAGGGTGATTCTATTTTCTAGAAGGGTCTATTCCCTTGGATAGGATAAACCTGGCTACCAGATGTACTCTGGAAGAATAAAAGCGCCTTGTATCAATCGATAGTACAATCCTTCCTCGACACATTCGATCCTGTAACACTTGGTAATCAGAGCTTTTCTCACTCGGCCGCTCTCAACAAAGCAGCAGCAGCGGGAAAACCTGCCTCGAAAAACCGCCGGGGGGGACGAATTCGGCGCCGATTCTGGTAAGCACCAGCTCCGCCTTTTGTGAATTACCCCCCCGCGCGTGTTTTGAACAGGATGGCGACCTTCGACAACGCCAAGGTTACCCAGCAACTCTTCGCGAGCATCGCAGCCCTTCAGGAGGAGATGCGAGCGGACCGCGAAGCGTGGCGAAACGAATTCGAGCGAGTAACTCGATTTGCCAGAGTGCAGCACAACTCGACAATAGCGACGACGCAGCAGTCTCAGCAGTTTCTCGAGGCTCCGAAACTGCGCCCACCTGAGCCGTTCGATCCGAGCGATTGAAACTCCGACGCACGCAGAGGGATCGCCGGGATGGAGATCTACTTCGCAGCCGTAGGATGGAGCTCGCTAGTCTGGGACGGTCAACGTGTACGAGTCGCGGCGATGCTGATGCGAGGTCCGGCACTCGAGTGGATTGGCGGTAACAGCACGTTCATCCACGGCGAAGCCACGTGGCAGCAGTTTCGCACCGACCTGCTCAAACATTTCGAGCCGATAAATTCAGGTTTCCTTGCCCGGGAAAAAATTCATCGCCATCGACAGTTCGGGACTGTAGCATAGTACACGCAGCAAATGGAAGAATTTTATAACCGAATTCCCGATCTGACCGAAAGGGAAAAAGTATAGTCGTACCTCGCCAGGCTGAAGACCGAAGTCAAACGACAAGTGGCAGCGACAAACTACGCGAGCTACAGTGACGTCGTATCGGCAGTGGAACGCTTCAACATGGTCAACACCGGGACACGACGGGCGCACGTTGGCAGTACGCGACAGGGCGACCGCTCGGCTCACCCCACGTTCGCCGACCCGATGGAAGTCGACAGGTTTGAAGGGCAGCCACGTCCGAAAAACACCAACTAGACGTGTGATTTTTGCGGGGTGCCGGGTCATCATATCTTCGACTGCAACAAAATGAAATCCGCACACGTAGAGTATCGGGCACGCAACAGTGGCGGAATTTCTCCGGCCAATCAGAAGAAAAAAAACGGGAGTCGCCAGTGATTGCGGATCTAGCTGGCGAAAAAGAAAACATCCGAAAGCGGCCGCGGGATTCGATGAAGCTGATTCGACGCGAGCAAGAGGAAATGATGGGGAAAAATCTCCATCCCACGACCAGTCTTCGCCAGGGACAATCGCCGAGAAAAAATCTGACTCCGCGAAAAAAGACTCTGCCGAGACGGGGAAACTCCTTGAAGACCCAAGAAATTATAAGGATTCGTTAAAGTTATCTTATAAATATGCTTTAATGAAAAATTATGATTCTCGAGGGGCTAGAGCCTTGGAGAAAATTCGGAAGGGACTCCAAAAGAAGCAGAAAGCTGTGGAGATCATACCGGTACCGGACAACTTGGGGAAAAAATTAAGGAGTGTTAAAAGAAGCCGACCTTTCCACGGAGTCAACGTCCTCTCCCGACACCAGCCCACAACGACCACCTGTTCCCCAGGGAAGACGTCGGTGGAGCTGAAGCAGCTCAAGAGGAAGCTGGGGGTCTACAAGAAGCTGCAAAAATCCTGAACTCCTCCTCCGGATGCATCCAGTTCAGCAACTTCAGCATCAACGACGCGTACAGTCGTCAAGGGAACTCCGGGCCCTGGAGAAGAGCCGTTCTCCAAGCAGCCTCGGCCAGCTGCCAGCTCAAGATTAGATAGCAACACAGAGGTGTGTATGGAATATTGGGATGTACCCTATGATCCTATCAAAGAAACTATCTTTGGGTACTCCGAGCAATGCCCGCCCCTCGTGCTCGAGGTCATCTGCAAAGGATGACGCCTCCAAGCACTCGTGGACAACGGAGCATCGCACACCGTCTGTGATAAGGCAGTAATCGACCAACTTCGTGAAGAGTACAAGCCTTCAGGATTCTCTGCAACGATGGTGGACGGCAGCAAGTTACCAGTACACGGCGAAGCAGTGCTACACCTACAAATCGGACCACTACGCTGGAGACCTGCACTCCCCATCACCAACATCAAAGGGCTTGACTTGATCTTCGGGTGAGACTTCCTGAAAAGATTCAACCTCCGAGATCAACTGGGTAAATCGCACTGCAGGCATCTCCAACAATGGAAGGAGAGTCCAACTACCCAACTGGGATGATACAGGAGATATCCCAGTGGAGACACTCGCACGATTCGAGAAGGACGTGAATCGAACCGACACCGGGTTTCTGGCGATAGCAACAGAGGTGGAGAACGACGGAAAGAAGACCTCAGAACCTCCAGGAAAAATCAAGGAATTGCTGAAGGAGTTCCAAGACATTCTCCCTGACGATCTTCCGAACGAGCTACCGCCATACCGAACGCATCAACACGAGATCGTGGAGGAACCGGGTTCGAATCCGGCCTTCCGAGCACCATACCGGCTCAGCCCTACGAAGCTGACCGACATGAAAAAACAGATCGAGTATCTCCTCGCCTAAGGACTCATCCGACCATCCACTTCGCCATACGGTGCCCCAGTGCTCTGCACACCGAAACCGGATAGAAGCCTGCGCATGTGCATCGATGACCGAGCTCTTAACAAGCAAACCATCAAGAATAAATATCCGATACCACGAATCGATGACATGCTTGATCAGCTTTGGGGAGCTACGGTATTTTCTAAACTGGATCTGCGGTCCGGATACTGGCAGATACAGATGGCGGACAATTCTATCCACAAAACTGCTTTCCGAACTCGGTATGGATCGTACGAGTATTTGGTAATGCCGTTCGGACTCACCAACGCACCGGCAACGTTCCAAGCCGAAATGAACCACATTCTACGACCACTTTTGGACGAGTGCGTGGTGGTGTACCTGGATGACATCCTTATCTACTCGCGCGACATGAAGCAGCACGTCGAACACCTACAACGCGTCTTCGAGATTCTTCGACGGGAACGGTTCTACGTCAAACTGTCCAAGAGCAAATTCGCCCTTGAGAAGGTCCAGTTCCTAGGACACATGGTGAGCGCTCAAGGAGTTCACGTCGACCCCTAGAAAATTGAAGCCGTACGTACGTGGAAGACACCCAAGAACGTAAAGGAGTTGCAGCAGTTCCTAGGCTTTGCTAATTATTACAACAGGTTCGTGCCACAGTACGCGAAACTCGCAGCACCACTCACGAATCTGCTGAAGAAGAGCACACCCTACAAATGGGAGCCAAAGCACCAAGAAGCCATGGAGCAGCTGAAACAAGCACTCACGTCCGCACCAGTACTCATCTTGCCAGATCCCGAACGCGACTACGTTATCGAAGCTAACGCCAGCGACCAGGCAGTGGGATTAGTCTTGATGCAAGACTAGGGGAATGGACTGCAACCAATCGCCTACCTGAGTAAGAAACTACACGGGGCAGAACTAAACTACCCGATACACGACAAAGAGGCCCTTGCCATCGTCATCGCTTTCAAAGAGTGGAGATGTTATCTCGAAGGACGAAGAACGATTGTCTACACCGACCACTGCAGCCTGAAATACTTGAAGACCCAACCCAACCTTTCCAGGCGACAGGTCCGGTGGACCGACTTCCTCGAGACACACTTCCACTACGACATCGTGTACAAGCCTGGCCACAAAAACAAAGCAGACGCCCTTAGCCGGCCTGCACACGTTGTCGCCATCCAGCTTGAAGGGATGAACCCAATACTCAAAGGACTCTTCACACACGGGTACACCATTGACCCTGAAATCCCCTTGGCGGAAAAGCGACACCTACTATAGTGGGACAGTGACATCGCGTACCGGAAAGGATCAACGAAAATTGGGGTACCAAATTACCCTCCTTTGCGCCAATTACTACTCAAAGAATACCACGACGTCCTCTACGCCGGACACTTCGGTAGCAACAAGACGCTCACCGGTATTGCAAAGCACTACTACTGGCCCCACTTGACAGAAGATGTTCAGAAATTTGTCACCTCATGTGATACATGTCAACGGATCAAGAGCAGCAAGCAGAAGAAGGCGGGACTACTGCAGCCTCTTCCTGTCCGAGAAGAACCATGGCAAGTGGTTAGCCTAGATTTCATCACCGGGTTACCGCCTACCACCAGCGGTCATGACGCAATCCTTGTCGTCATCGACAAGTTCTCCCAAAATGGGACACTTCATCCCAACACACACGACAGCACGCACCAAAGAAACAGCACAACTCTTCGTTCGATACATCATCTCACAGCATGGCATTCCAACCACGCTTATCTCCGACCGATACCCCAAGTTCACCAGCAAGTTCAGGAAGGAACTGATGTCTCTACTCAGGACCAAACTCGCCATGTCATCCGCTTACCATCCGCAGACAGACGGACAGACCGAGCGCCTCAACCAAATTATTGAGCAACTCCTCCGAGCAGCCTGCAAGGACGAGATCTCCAAATGGGACCTGCACCTGCCCGTTCTAGAGTTTGCTTACAACAACGCTACACACGCTGCTACTGGACAGACGTCGTTCTTCCTCTGCTACGGACGCCACCCGCTTACACCACAGAAACCGACAACATCAGCAACAGTCCAATCGGCACACGACTTCATCACAACCATGCATCAGCTTTGGGATCGGACCCACGAGCGCCTCCTCGACATTCAGCAGCAACAGAAGCGCCAGGCCGATCGCCATCGCAACGACCACACAGTCACTGTAGGAGACTAGGTGCTCCTTGACACCCGCAACCTTGACATTAGCAATCTCCCATCTAAACTTTGACCTTTTTTCTGCGGGCCTTTTCTCGTTGAAGCACAGGTCACTCCTGTTACCTTCCGCTTACGCCTGCGAGCTACCTGGAAGATTCACAATGCCCTCCATGTCCAACTTCTGAAGCCCTATCAGGATCCGAACACGATCTTCGCCGGACGCCAACCGCCGCCGCCGCCGCCCGTCCTCGTCCAGAATGAACCCGAGTACGAGGTCGAGTCCGTGCTTGCACATCGCCGTCGTCGGAATGGCACCGTAGAGCTTCTCATTCGTTGGAAGGGTTATGATCCTTCTGAGGACAGCTGGGTACCTGAGTCCAACATGGGTAACGCCCGTCATCCTCTGCATGACTACCTTGTTAAGCAGGGTGTTACTTCTACCACCCAGCTTTGAGGGGGGGAAGTGTGAGATTACGACCCCATTACACCACTTGGCCTTTCCTTCTTTCACTTCTCTTTTTATCCCATCTCATTTGGTTTCCTATTCTCCATTTTCCATTATCCCTTGGGTTATCCTGTTATTATTATTATATCACCGACCAGGCTCGGGATGTACTGGCGCGCTATATCTAGTGCAATGCTACCGTAATCCCTTAAAGCCAATAGCATCGCGTGGCTATATGCAGGGTGATTCTATTTTCTAGAAGGGTCTATTCCCTTGGACAGGATAAACCTGGTTACCTGATGTACTCTGGAAGTATAAAAGCACATTGTACCAATCGATAGTGCAATCTTTCCTCGAGATATTCGATCCTGTGACAATGATCCTCCTGTGTCAGGAGCCTCGACTTGAGGGTAGAGCGAATCACATCCAGCTGCGGTATTTCCACCTGCGCGAGCTAGAGCAGCGCCGCCAGGCCCACATAGTACACTTGGTCTCTGGTGCCAACACAACTGATATCTTAACTAAGGTGCTTGCGCCTAAAGATCATCAGCAGCACTATTTGCAGCTTGGTCTAGTTCCTGTAGACTCTCACTTTCTAGGACCTTGATTGTGTACTTCTCTTTATATATACCTTCTAGACTGGCTTTGTGGCTTCTCTTCCAATGGATGGACTAGTTGTGCCGCCCTAGTTTGCATTGTCTTGTTTGTACTCTTGCTAACTGGTCTTTGGACCTGTGGGAGTACGACCCCGTTACACTTCTTTCTCATTTCCATTTTTTTACTCTTGCTCATTCTTCTAATTATCCCGATTCCATTTATCTTTATCACATCCCATTTGGTTTCCTATTCCCCCTTTCTCATTATCCTTTGGGTTATCCTATTATTATAATTCTATCACCGACCAGGCTCGGGATGTACTGGCGCGCTATATCTAGCGTAATCTTGCCGTAACCCCTTAAAGCCAATAGCCTCACGTGGCTATACGTAGGGTGATTCTATTTCTAGAAGGGTCTATTCCCTTTGGAAAAGATAAACCTGGTTACATGATGTACTTCAGATGTATACAAGCGCCTTGTATTTATCGATAGTGCAACTTTTCCTCGACACATTCGATCCTGTGACACTTGGTAATCAGAGCCTTTCTCACTCAGCCACGCTCAGCTAAGCAGAAGCAGCGGGAAAACCTGCCTCGAAAAACCGCCGGGGGCGACTAATTCGGCGCCGATTCTGGTAAGCATCGGCTCCGCGTCTTTTTAATAAACCCCTACAGACGTGTTTTGAACAGGATGGCGATCTTCGACAACGCCGAGGTTACCCAGCAGCTCTTCGCGAGCATCGTCGCCCTTCAGGAGGAGATGCGAGCCGATCGCGAAGCTTGGCGAAACGAGTTCGAGAGAGTAACTCGACTTGTCGGCGCGCAGCACGAAATGACAACGATGAAATGACCACGCCCACCTGAGCCGTTCGATCCGAGTGATCGAAATTCCGACGTCCGCAGATGGATCGCCGGCATGGAGATCTACTTTGCAGCCGTCGGATGGAGCTCGCCAGTCTGGGACAGTCAACGCTTTCGACTCGCGGTGACAGTGATGCAAGGACCAGCACTCGAGTAGATCGACGGTAACAGTACCTTCATCCACGACGAAGCCACGTGGCAGCAGTTCCGCATAGCGATACACGACAAGGAGGCCCTTGCTATTATCATCGCCTTCAAAACGTGGAGATGTTCTCTCGAAGGACGAAAGTCAACCGTGTACACCGACCACTGCAGCCTGAAATATTTGAAGACACAACCAAACCTCTCCAGGTGGCAGGTCCGGTGGATTGACTTCCTCGAGACGCACTTCCACTATGACATCGTGTACAAGCCCGTCCACAAAGACAAAGTAGATGCTCTCACTCAGCCTGCACACGTTGCCGCAATCCAGGTCGAAAGGATGAACCCACTACTCAAAGGACTATTCACACACGGGTATGCCATCAACCCCGAAATTCCTTTAGCTCAGGGTTGCGACACGTGCTACACTGGGACAGTGACATCGCGTACGGGAAGGGATCAACAAAAATCTGGGTACCCAATTACCATCCTTTGCGCCAGTTACTACTCGAAGAGTATCACGACGTCCTATGTGCGGGACACTTTGGTAGCAACAAAACGCTCACCGGTATTGCAAAGCACTATTACTGGCCCCACATGGCAGAAGACGTCAAGAAATTTGTCACCTCGTGTGCTACGTGTCAGCGGATGAAGAGCAGCAAGCAGAAAAAGGCAGGATTGCTACAACCTCTTCTTGTCCCAGAATAGCCATGGCAAGTGGTTAGCCTGGATTTCATAACCGGGTTACCAACTACCACCAGCGGTCATGACGCCATCCTTGTCGTCATCGACAAATTCTTCAAAATGGGACACTTCATCCCGACACACAGGACAGCACGCACCGAAGAGACAGCACAACTATTCGTTCGCTATATCATCTCACAACATGGCATTCCAACCACACTCATCTTTGACCGAGACCCCAAGTTCACCAGCAAGTTCTGGAAGGAACTTATGTCTTTGCTCTGGAGAAAACTCGCCGTGTCATCCGCCTACCATCCGGAGACACATAGACAGACCGAGTGCCTAAACCAAATTGTAGAGCAACTCCTTCGCGCAACATGCAAAGACGAAATCTCTAAATGGGACTTGCATCTGCCTGTCCTGAAGTTTGCCTACAACAATGCCACTCACGCCACTACTAGACAGACGCCGTTCTTCCTCTGTTACGAACACCACCCGCTCACACCACAAAAACCGACAGCATCAACCACAGTCCAACCCGCACACGACTTCATCACGACCATACATCAGCTTTGGGATCGGACCCACAAGCGCCTCCTCGACATTCAGCAGCAACAAAAGCGCCAGGCCGATTGCCACCGCACTGACCACACCATCGCCGTGGGAGACGAAGTTCTACTCGACACCTGCAATCTCGATATCAGTCATCTCCCATCCAAACTACGACCTCGCTTCTGCGGGCCCTTTCTCATCGAAGCACAGGTCACTCGTGTTACCTTCCGCTTACGCCTGCCAGCTACCTGGAAGATTCACAATGCCTTCCATGTCCAACTTATGAAGCCATATGGAGATCCTAACACGGTTTTCACTGAACGCCAACCCCTCCTGCCGCCGCCCGTCCTCGTCCATGATGAACCCCAGTACGAGGTCGAGTCCGTGCTCGCACACCGCCGTCGTCAGAATGGCACCGTGGAGCTTCTCATTCATTGGAAGGTTTGTGATCCTTCTAAGGATAGTTGGGTTCCTAAATCTGAGATGGGTAACGCTCGTCGTCCTCTTCGCGACTACCTTGTCAGCAGGGTGTTACTTCCACCACCCAGCTTTGAGGGGGGGAAGTGTGAGAGTACGACCTTGCTACACTTCTTTCTCATTTCCATCTTTTTTTTTTTACCTCCTTCTAATTATCCTGATTCCTTTGATCTTTATCACATCCCATTTGGTTTCCTATTCCCTCTTTCTCATTATCCTTTGGGTTATCCTATTATTATAATTATATCACCGACCAGGCTCGGGATGCACTGGCGCACTATATCTAGCGTAATCTTGCCATAATCCCTTAAAGCCAATAGTCTCGCGTGGCTATACGTAGGGTGATTCTATTTCTAGAAGGGTCTATTCCCTTTAGATAGGATAAACTTGGCTACCTGATGTACTTCAGAAGTATAAAAGCGCCTTGTATCAATCGATAGTGCTACTTTTCCTCGACATATTCGATTCTGTGGCAGGACCCCTGCCTCAGAGGTTGGACAATAGTGCCACCCAGAGCTACGTGTTCATTGCTCTGCACTGCCCCTTACCTAGCCTAGGGGGTGTTTCAATTTATACATATGTTGACATGTAGAAGTTATACGCTAGATAGGCTTGTGTTCTTAGAGGGTACATCTCCAACCCTATATCTTCCCTGTACTCTATTGTTTCTATTAATTCTAGTATTCATTCTAGTATTGTTTCTACAAAGACCAGACGCCAGCTTGGTCACTCACGTGCCTTGTGATTGGTAAGTCGAATCAATCGCATTTGCAAACAACACATAACGCGTCGCATGCATGATGCGTGTTCTCAATCGCACGCTTGTGAACCATGCTATCCTTGTACTAAACAACTTCGTGTAAATCGGCAATTACAATACAGTATTCATACATCTTTTGGGCTATCGTGGTACTGAGTACCACTCCATAGGGATGTGCCTTAACAAATGCAAACTATGGTTTAGAAGTACAAATCTACCAAAGCGAATACCAAGACAAACAAGGAAGCAGTCGCGGAAAATGTCCTACAAACTCGAGCGAAGTCATTACTGTCATCGTCGAACCCTCGACAGGAATTGGTCAGGACCAAACCAGATCCTGATCCAACAGGAGTAGGTGTCCATGATCTCATCCTACCTAATAATGTGCAACCGGAAAATCCCCAAAAGGAAACTATTGGGGGCAACTACGTTCATGGGGTGGAGCAGCTAATTTCGCACTACATGTGACAATCCGAGGAATCCCTACTAATGATGGAATTCACGTACAACAACGTTACGTCCGCAACCACTTGCCAATCACCCTTCTTCTTGAATCACGGCAAAGATCCAGTGACGCCCCTGACGTCAGACCCGCAATCTACTATAGCACGCGCACAACAATTGGTGGAGCATCTAAAGGTTGCCCGGGAACGAGCTGCTGAGGCTATCAGGAAGGCCAATTTGGTCGCTAAGAGGCATTCGGATTGGCACCAAAGAGTTGTAGTGTACTAGGATGAGAATTTGATATTGCTCGACAATAAGGATATGCGACTGCACATCGTCCCAAAATTACAACCTCGCTACTGTGGATCGTTTCAGATCACCACATGATTAGACATGTTATATCGCATTTTTTGTAACCACAAGTCGGAATATCAGCCCGTCATTTCCGCATCAGCTTATTGCGCCCTTATTTACCGAAATATGGTAATTTATCACACGATCGACCAAGTATAAAATCATAACTGAATGACCCATAACTTAAACAATCATAAAATCCGGAAGATTGCATAATCACCGCTTGCGGGACCCCCATGATGCTCGTCACATTGAGTTCCTGGTTCGATGGAAGGAAACGATGGCAATGGAGAACAGCTCGGTGCCTCTGAAGGACGTTTAGAATTCCTTGCTTCTGTAGTTGTATTTGCAGGTGCGCCATCTGCGAGACGTTGGTGAAATTTCCTAGTTATGGATTTTATAGAGGGGGAGTGGTGTCAGGAAAATAATATTCCTCGTTGTACATCCCGCGCACTAGCCCGTACAGCCATTGTCATCAGTCAAACCTGATTACCATTTGTTCGCACATTGCATATTTTATCGACCCCACCCATGTCAGCACTGCCGAGTCACTTGCCAAATAAGTGCACGCTCATTGAGCCACGCTCCGAACTTGCACGCCAGCTAAATATCTTTGGCCACGTCACTAGATGTTACCCATAGTGTTTTTTGCATATAAATGTTGCACATGTATCATTGACCGAACTAGTTATTCATATTTTTGCTATCTCATCTCCAATAGTAGGCCGTTCGGCTATTCCTCGAATGCAGATCCTAAGACCGAAACAAACAGGAACAAAAAATAACTAGAGGAGTGACCAATTGTAAGGCTGATTTTCCTGTATGTGTAAGCCCTGAAAGGTAAGAATGAGGCAAGCCACATTGTTCTCGGAGCCTGAATCGGAAATAAACTTCCCTCCCACCTCTTCATAAATATGGTTCTTGAAATCGGCAGCATGTCCCTAAGGATGTTTGCTTTAAGGGTAACTAGCATGTTAGTGTGAGCTCTTCTCACGGTGGCTGCAAAAATCTTCCCAGCCTATTGTGGGCGCAACATGCTATGTTGAAATGAAAATAAACGTAATTAGTTGAAGGAATGGTTTCCACATGAATAATTCTGCCACATTTTTCTCGAACACCACTCAGGATCGACCATTCAGAGAGGTTGAAAGTGGTATAGTGTGGTGTTCTACGAATTATATTATGAATAGCGTGGTAAATTACGGCGAATGTTCGGTTCGGAAGCTGTTCCTAAAAATGTGACACACCCTTATTTGCCTTTGGATCCTTTCACTACCCGCATGAGTTGGAGGCTTTCAGAGATGACGCGTATGTGTTCCCCTGCGTACATTACGGGGTAAGGGCGTGGGACATCGGTCACCAAACCCAAAATTTGTAACGGACATCAATGTTTGGGCAGGACGAACTGGCCTGATGGATGTACGAACCGTCTCATGAACTCAGCCCCTTTGGAGGTTCCACTTTCCGAAGTTCCAACTTTCAAAAACAGATGATTCGGGTTATGAATTTGACGACAATTTTTTGCGAACGAGGCCGTCACAAAACTTCGCAAATCTGCTGGCATGCAAATTGGGTTGGCGGGAATTTGACGAAACACAACATTCCCTGCTGCTCGGTAGGTTTTGTTCCACGCCCGCTTTTCGTGCACAACACACCGTGCCGACTTTGCTGTCGTTTCGAAAGTGGAGGGTTGGCTGTTCGAACGGTGGAATTCGTGACGCATGTTTCACATACGTTATGAATCTTGGCAATGTGCGAAAAGACTTTACGAAGTTAACGAGAATCATAACCCCATCGAAATTCATACCGTCTTCGAAATTACGAATTGGAGGTCCCACGCCCTAATTCCCCCTATGCAAGCAGACCCCCTGTTGCATTGCTCACCCCGTCTTCTAGTCACCACTCCCATTTTCAACAACGGCTAAGGGCGTTTGACATTTCGAACGTATCGGGATTGGGGTACGCAATTTTAGGTGGTTACCATGTTTCCGACAGTGTACATTATTACTCACAAGCGATTAAAGCCCGGCCGGCAGGTTGCAAGTCCCCTTTTCTCAAGATGCTACACCTTGAGGCCCCCGTAACCGAGCAGCTTGCGTCAAACTGCCAAACGCTCGCGAAAGGTTTCCAACCTGGTAGGGTTGGGAGCCTCTCGGAACTTGGCAGTGCCAACCTGCCAAGTTCTTGGAGGGGAGAAATGGGACGAGTTGTGAGGGGGGTAGAAACCTAAGATTGTACTCGCAGTTTGGGTGGGAATCGCGAAAGAAATATGTGCTTCAAACTTTTTGTGTCGCATGTTATCGATCTGTAGAGCGCCCCAAACTGCATCCGATTTTTGTTTTCGAAACCGGTCAGGACGAGGTGCTGGTTGTGATGTCAACAGCCAACTAGTCACCCTGCAAACTTGGCAGAGCTGGGGAGGTGGTTCTCGGCCAGAAAGAGAGCTCCAAAACTTGACAGCCCTGCCAAGTTTCCAGCCCCGCTAGCTTGCGCGAACCAACGCTGACTCTGCGAAGCCTCCTCTTCGCCAAAATAATTAGTTTCTATAACAATTCGTCGACCAATCAGATTCTGCCGCCCCACCTACCTGAACAGTACAAATATGCAACCTGCAGGGCGGGCTTTATGGCGAAAATGATACACACAAAAAATTGCATTTCTAGGGTTGGTGATTAGTGGCGTCTCACTATAGATGTTTTCGTTGGCCTCGGCAAATTTTGACGATGTTACTCTGTTGTCGCTTGTCTGTGTACGCGCCACGCGTACCTACCGCGTTTTGCCCTCGACTGGGTGCGGAATACAGTTTCAAAAATGTACAATTCTGGAACCTGCCTTTCGATCCTCGAATGTTGACGAGTCCGCACCCGATGCGCGCTCATTCGGTTTGGACTTTTGCATTTTTGGGTTGTGTAGCAACCTTATAAATTTGGTTTCATGTTTCCGTGCGCCCGTTTTTTTTTTCTTCTTCTTTGTTGTTGTTGTTGTTGTTGTTATTGTTGTTGTTGTTGTTGTTTTTGTTGTTGTTGTTGTTGTTGTGGTTGTCGTTGTTGTTGTTGTGGTTGTTGTTGTTGTTGTTGTTGTTTTTTGTTTGTTTATTTGTTTGTTTGTTTGTTTTTTTTTTTTTTTTGCAATAAATCATGATTGATAAAACTATAGTTGCTTGTTACTCTGCATGTTATCTACCGTAAAATGTTTTTTCCAATAGTGTATTGCATTGGATTTCTGCATGTTTTCTAAAACCTTTTTTATATGTGTTTTATCTATTCCTTTTTTATTTAATTTAACTAAAATGTTTTGTTTTCGTGTCATGCATCTTTCGTCCTACTTCTTATTTTAGGCGGCTAAACAATTCTACACGAAAACAACACGATGAAAAACAACACGAAACAACACGGTCAACAAGCTTGTGATAGGAGCGGACTTGATACAAGGGCACGGTGGGCGACAACATGGGATACGAAGGTACGGGGTGTGGAGGTACGGGTCATGAGTGCACCGAACGCACGCAATAAGAGCACGGAAAACGAGGGCACGGTGTACGGGGACACATAGCTTGGGGGCACATGGATTTAAAGGGCACAAGATATGGGGCCACGGAATGTGAGTGCACGGGAGACGAGGGCACGAGACGAGATACGAGGTCACATGATATGAGGGCACATACTATGGGCAGCACCGAATACGAGGGCACGAGATAGGGAACGGGATATGAGGGAAAAGGGTCATGAGGGCACGGATCGCAATAAGGGCACGGAAAATGAGGGCACGGAACATGGTGGGCACACACCTTGGGGTCACAGAATGTGATAAGGGCACGGAAAACGAGGGCACTGAATACGGTGGCATGTAGGTTGGGGCCACGGATTACAAGGGCACTAGATATGGGGGCACAAAATGTGAGTGCAAGAGATATAAGGGCACGAGGTACGAAGTCACAGGATATGAGGGCATAGGATACGAGGGAAAGGGGTCATGATGGCACGGAACGCAATAAGGGCATGGAATACGGTGGCTTGTAGATTGGTGACATGGATTACAAGGGCACAAGATATGGGGGCACGGAATGTGAGTGCACATGATACGAGACCACGGATATGAGGTCACAAGATATGAGGGCAGGGAATATGGGCAGCACCGAATATGAGGGCACGAGATATGAGGGCATGGGATACGAGGGAAAAGGGTCATCAGGGCATGGATCGCAATAAGGGCACGGAAAACAAGGGCACGGAATACAGTGGCATGTAGGTTGGGGGCACGGATTACAAGGGCACAAGATATGGGGGTACAAAATGTGAGTGCACGGGATACGAGGGCACAGGATACGAGGTCACGGGATGTGAAAGCACGGAATATGGGCAGCACCGAATATGAGAGCATGAGATATGAGGGCATGGGATATGAGGGAAATGGATCATCAGGGCACGGATCGCAATAAGGGCACAGAAAATGAGGGCACGGAATACGGTGACTTATAGGTTGGGGACACGGATTACACGGTTACAAGATATGGGGGCACAGAATGTGTGCGCAAGGGATACGGGTTACGTGGCACTGGATACGGGGGCATGGAATATCACGGCACTCTGGCAACACCGAATCTCAGGGCACGAGGGCATGGAACGCGAGCGAATGCAAGAGGGCATGGGATACGAGGAAAAGAGGCCATGAAGTCACGAAAAACAATAAGTGCACGCAGTATGAGAGCACAAAATACGAGGGCACGAAACGCGAGCGAACGGAGGGCACGAGACATGAGGGCACATGATATGGGGGCACGGGATACTGGGTATTGGATATTATGATGGCACATGATACGATTGCGCCAGATGTGAGGGCACGGTATGTAAAGGCGCGAGATATAAGAACATGGGTTTTGAGGGCACGGGATATGAGAGCTCGAGATATGAGGGCATGAGTATGAGGGCATGGAAGATAGGGGCATGAGATATGAGGGCGCAAGTTATGAGGCACGAGATCTGAGGGCATACAATCTTAGTGCATGCTGATGTGAAGGCATGGGACATGAGGATGATGTGCAATAGTCTATGGTTCCTTGGGTGGGTTGTGCACAATTTCTATGGTTCCATCGTCGATAAATATGGCGGTAGAATCAAAGAGGTGTGCATCAACCTTTCAAAGCACCCATCAACTGCATACACACGAACAATAATGCTGTAAATGCAATAAAGCAATGCACGAATGCTTCCATGCTGCAAGTGGGGTTGACATGTACGTTTTGGAAGCAACACTTTCCAAACCGACAACGACAACTGCCATTTGTGCAGTGCACTTGGCATATATGCATCACTCCAGCACTGATACAGCGTATCAAAACGCTTGAGTACAAAACGAGCGCGAACAGCATGCAAGCATATAATGATGCAGTCAATGCGATGAAATGATACACGAATGCTTCCATGCTGCAAGTGGGGTTGACATGTACGTTTTGGAAGCAACGCTTTCCAAGACGACAACGACAACCGCCATCCATGCAGTGCACTTGGCATATATGCATCACTCCAGCACTGATACAGCATAACAAAACGATTGGGTACAAACGACCACGTACAGCATGCAAGTATATAATGATGCAGTCAATGCAATGAAATGATACACGAATGCTTCTGCGACAAAACACAGGGGTAAAGAACATGTGGGGACTTGGAAAATGAGGGCACATGATATGCAGTCACGGCATTTGAGGGCACAAGTTTTAGGGGCATGATTAGTGGAGTTACATTATATGAGGGCACGGGGTATGAGGGCATGGGATATGGGGGCTCGGAATATGACTGCACGGGATATGTGGGCACGAGTTATGAGGTCACGGGATATGAGGACACGGAATATGGGCAGGATTGAATATGAGGGCATGAGAGATGATTGCAGGGAATATGTGGGGAAGAGATGGATACGCTTGGCATGCATGCTCCAATGTTGCACAACACGACACAACGATAACAGTTATTACGTAACGATTCCCAAGTACCATGCAATCCAACATACACCCAGGAAAACAATAAGCATGCACACACATTCAATATAAACTGGGGAAAGAAGAGGAGGGAATCAAAGATGAGGCGCATACGTCATGGGTGTATGCGATGTTACAGTGTCACACAACAACCAACAACAGCTCAAATATGGAGAATTTTGGCTTAGATATAGGATACTCCTCCCATTCCCCCCCTTTTTTTTCCTGCTCCTTTGTACCATCCCTACCATCCGCACCCCTCCTCCCCCCCCCCCTCCCCCCCCTCCCCCCCCTCCCCGCCCTCCCCGCCCTCCCCCCACTCCCCCCCCTCCCCACCCTTCTCCTTTCACTCCGCCCTTGCTTATCTTTTGCTAGCCCCTCTGGAACTTATGCGATGCACAAAATCAGACCTGCATGAAGGGAGAGTGGAGAAGGACACGTTCAAATAAATCATGAACCTTAGTGCAAGCTACTTGAATAGCAGCAAGAGCGCCAACAACAAGTTCGCACATCACAAGTGCACTGGAAACTGCAAATTACTAGTAGATGGTACAGTAATGAACTATGAACTAATGGGCTACCAAATAGTACACCAGCAGCTAGTGCACTGTCAGTTTGCACGCTTACAGCTAGACGTACATTCAAAGACAAAATGCACTACAAATTAGTAAATTGTGAGAAATGTCTTGCAAGAGAAGTGATTGAAAAGGTAAAGAACAAATTGGTGGAGATAGGAAGATGGGCTCTAGTGATCCGAGTTAATGGTTTATACATGAAAAGGTATGATTAGTGGGAAGTGCATAGGAGAATCAACGCCATGGAATAGGGGAGACAAAAGGCCTGGTGGAGGGCACCAGAAGGAAATTGAAGGAATAGAATAAAAGAAAAGGTTGTATGTATATCTACCAGTTTAGACGCCATGTCGGTTGTTGTGATTCATAGGCGTTCCAGTCTCAGTTGGTGTATTGCTTGATGCGATGAGCTTGTTGTTGGCATTCCTTGCTGCCATATTTCCAACCTGGTTTCATAAAGATAATCAAAATTACAAGTCTTAACGGGTATAGATTTGAGTTCGCAATCTGAGAAAGTACAATGATATAATAGAACAAAAAAGCTGCTCACATTCGCTGGCCCACATTCAATTGAGGTGATTTTCATCTGGATTGCTTCCCCAGCTATCCTTATCCCCATCTGCATTAGTTTATAAGAAAAAAATGCATTACAATAGTGCCATTGTGCAATCAAAGCGTAAACCAATAATATTGGTTGGGAATAATAATGAAGTAGCAATAAAGCATTTCGAGCAAAAGCATTACATGTAGCTTAATCTAGAAATGAATACGGACGAAGATGTTCTAAACATGTCAAAAGCATCACAGTTTGTGTACAACAATAGGATCTCACCTCAGCTCGCCAATGTTTGTGTAGAGCTGCCAGTATTTCCATCTTCTTGTCTGCATTCGCATTCATGTCGTCCTTAAAACCGGAGCTACCAAAGATTGCTTCGATCACCTCGGCACTCACTGTGGCGAGCACCCCCGTGCGAGAATCCTTGCCAGCTACGTACATGCATGCAACATGATGTATAATAGGGGGGAATTTATGGTATTGCACAAAGAAGAGCAGCCTCACCATGCCATAAGCATAGTAGTAATACCAATAAATCATCTACGTAACATGTGTGTCAAAGACAACCACAATCTTGGGGTTGTCGCTGGAAGTTGTTGAGAAGTTTTGCATGCTGCATTTGTACTTCTTGGCAGTGCAGTCAAAGACTACAGGAAATCCACAGACAGTTGCGCTTCCGTCAGGTGAAGTGTAGTTACAGAACCAGCCGGGCATGGTGCGAACCTCCCGAATCTCCAATGTGATAGTGAAAGTCACCTCAACATTTTTTGCCCAAGCATAGTCCTCCACAGCTGTTAGACTTTTGGATTTGGTTGGGAGATGGGATTGGGATAAGAAAAGAAACCAAACTATCATCATTGATTGATGGTCTATATTGCGCTACGAAAGCATCTAGTATATGCATAAACGATCACGCATGCAACAAGGAAGTAGCCGTATGAGTATCATCTGCCAACTCTCACTTACGCTTTGACGTGACCGACGTTTTGGCACGTCGGTTCATTAGGAGTATCCGCAAGCTTGATGCGGTAAGCCATCTATGCAA